AAAGGGGAAGCAAGGCATGGAAGACGGGAAGGGTCTCAACCCCCAAATCGGAAGCCATTTGTACCATATCAGAACCATATCACGATCATAGAGACAATAATCTCTGACATGTATGACCTTACACACTGTTGTTTATAAGTCCGTGACTTGAGTCGTTGGTCACGTCGTTCATTGCCGTACATGCCTGTGCGGGAATCGCAGCTCAGAAAGCGTTGAGAGAAAAAAAAAACGTGCATTGATATATGCATCACGCTGCCAACGCTACCTGTTCTATACCTCATACAATCGTTACACACGCTCCTACTGTCCGCCTCTGACCGTCGTCACACCCCTCAGCTCAGGTCGAAGCCAGCGCCCGAGGAAATCGCGAGGACCAACTTGCGCCGCAGCGTCTCCTCGTCAGTATACCGCGGCAGCTTGAGCAGGTTCACGCACGTGCTGGCGCTCGGCAGCCGGGCCTCGTCGGTGCCGCCGTCGCGAATGCTGAAAAGCGGGTTCAGCGACCCGAACCCCAGCAGCGGCGCGCGCGGCGTCGACGTGACGTACTTGAGCAGATCGCGTCGCTGGGCGTCCGTGAACCCACGCACGACCTTCCAGAAGAGCTGGATCGTCGGGTGCTCCTCGCCATCGTCGCCAATGACGTAGAGGCCCGAATAGTTGGTGTTGGCGCGCAGGTCATCAATGCTAATCTCGGACGAGTCGCCGCCGACGAGGCGCTGCAGCTCCGTCTGGTTAAACATGGAGAGCCAGGTCGGCGCGATGATGGCGCGCAGACCACGCAGGAAAGCCATCGTTTGCTGGGCGGGCTGCACCACGAGTCGGTGACGCGCCATGTACGATATGTAGAGCAGTCTGTTGTCCTTGGTGACGGGCGTCGAGCCCCTGCCGGGAATGAGCTCTGTCGTCAGACTGCGGACCGTCTCGCCATCCGCCGAGATCTGATCATCGACTGTAAAGTCAAGGCTTAGGGACTCCACCTCGTCAGCGGGCAGATTCTTGAGATGCACCAAACCCTGATACAAGCCAGCATCGAGGTCACGCAAGTCGTTCACGTTGCCCCGGTAGCTCTCCTCGCCTGTCAGACCGGAAGCTGCCCACTTGAGTAGGAAGAATCCGGCAAAGTTGACGTCGATGAGGATATCCTCATACATGCATTTGCCGACGAGGCGTCCCAGAAACTCGTACCTCTGTGAGAGTCCGGTCAGGATATCCTTTTTCTCAGCTTCAGGGAGACCCATCTTCTCGGTCTCTTCTCTGAACTTGTCAAAGATGATCGGGTTCGGATACCACAACTTCTGGCTGTTTTCGACAAAATATCGGTCATCAGACTGATTCATGAACACCTGATTAATGGCGCTGAGGAGAAATTCCTTAGCGACACCTCCTCCGTCGATGCCTGCCTCGACGTCGCCAAAGCTGTCGATGAACTGAATCTGGACTGGCTCCTTGAGGCTCTCGCCTAGTTCGTAGAACTGCTCAAACGCATCGTCGAATTCTTGTCCTCTCTTGATGCTTCCACGATGACGTCCGGTCAGACCTCTCTGGGGCAGGAGCGGATTGTTGATCATGGACATCCGCCACTGCTCGGCGTCCATTCCTTGTCTCCTCTTTTGCTGATCGAGGTAGATGAACTGTCGGAAGATGTGGACCCGCGCATCGAAAGGGATCACAAAAGGCATGTGTCGGAGGATCTCTAGTTTGGGTCCGATGACGGATAGCATGCGAGCTTTCTGGGCTCGTCTCTGACGAGCTCGAATGTTCTCTATTTGCGCGTGCTGCGACAAGCGCTGACCGGCGAACGTATGCACGCCATTTTCCATCTCCACGTCGTCATCCATGTCGTCTTCCTCGTCTTGATCCTCATCATCTGACAAGTTGGCCAGCTCTTCTTGTTGGCGGTCGTGTTCCCGCACGACGCTCGACGCAAACTTTTCCATGTCAAATTTGGAGGTCATGAGCCAGTGGTCCCGGGGTAAAAACGGACGTCGAGAGTCCCGTTCGTAGAGCATGCGCAACGTCGACGTCACGATAGCCCTCAACCCTGCTAGATCTGGCTTATCGAAGGATAGGCCCTTTGGGCCCAGGGATGTGCGTCTCCCCTTGTTGGAGGCTTTCTGACCTTCAGCGAGGCCAAGGAAGGAATCCAATCCGTTGGATGAGGCGAGGCTTGGAGCAAGATCCTGAAGGATCTCGTTGGTGTAATAATGCAGGGCAAAAGCCAAGTTCTTGAGGAACAATGTCAAGCTTTTGACGTCTTCGAGGGTAAGGCTGCATGCTCGGAGGCGAGTCTGCGGCTCGCCATTCTCAATGATCCTTGGCCAAATGCCGCTGAAGAAGTCGTCGTCGTCGCTGAGGCGTAATATGAAAGTATAGAGTTCAAGGAAAAGCAGAGTCAATCTCCACTCTTGTTCCTCAAGGGCCGAGTATTCTTGAGTCCCCGACTTCGACAGGTATCTTTTAATCAAGGAAGGGATCGAGCCGACTGCGTGAGCGGATCCCTTATCATGGCAGATGCGCTCAAAAAGCGATGTCTGGCTCATTGTTTGCCAAAGGTACTTGATGACGGGGATATTTCCGCCTGTTGAGGGAATATCTCCCAAAAACAGGCGCATCCGAATGTCATCAGCGAATGTCGGAAAGCACCGCAGAAGCGTGACAATGTAGCCTGCCAAGAGGCTTGCGCCCTGGAAGCTTTTGTTATTAGGGGAAACAGAAGCTGCGTTTGAATCAGGGGCAAAAGTGCTGCTGCAGTTAGCCCTCTGTCGTTGTGTGAGCTCGACTAAAACTGACCTGGCCAGATCCGACAGGATATCAGTAATACCGGCTCGGTCCACGCAGGAGGTAAGCTTGGTCAAAACATAAGGCGGCAGTGGTCGGAGCATGGACACCGTGTCATCATTTGCTTGCTCGGTGTTTTTGTGACGCTCCGTTGCTTGTCAATGGTAATCGAAATCGAATCTGAGAAGCCAAACTTGACAGCTGAAGGTGCATGGCATGCAACGAGCCAAGGTGGTGAGATGTACTCTTTTGCGTCTGATGTATGTCTATAAAGTAGGCGAGCAGCCAAAGTAGACTATCTGGCGTTGCCGAGGCGGCCCGAGGCCCGGAGTATGCTTCAATTATGGCTCCTGAGAGTTTATCGATGTCGATGCGTTGCGCAATGAGATTATTTTCCTGCTGTAGAGGAGCTATATCCCCTACTGCGAGGAAATCGAAAGCAAATGCATCATAGGCGCGGTTTGAATGTGGACGGGCGTCCTCGGCAGAACCTGGTCAGTGTGTAAACAGCCGAGCCACGTGCAGGATGGAGGATTATGGTGAAGAAACATACCATACTGGGGAGGCTCGTTCAAAGGAGCCAACACAAGTGCCAGGACCTTCTCGAGCTGCTGCTCATCTGAGGCAGAAGCACGCACCAGTCTTGCTAGGAGTCGGAAGTACTGGGAGAGAACCCGCACGACAGACTGAGGTTGCCCAGTGACCAGGTAGGCTAGGAGATCGACAAGGAGTTTCGTTTCTGGTTGAAGGTGTCTGAAAGAATCACAGTCAGTCTCTCTTCAGAAAATATGTCAAGGCCATTGAGCGTCCCAACCCACGTTTCCAAAATGGTTGCCCCAAGGGCCTCGACAGTTATCTCAGACAATCGTCTCAGACGATGGCCTTCTTGCTCTCGACTTGATTGATTTTCCGATGATGGGACTAAAGAGCGTACGTGCTGGGACATGACATCTCGTGCTATGTAAGCTAGCCGATGCACGTCGTCAGGTCGGTTCCTCTGAAAGGCAGCAAGCAGCAGCGGTAGAGCCGTATGCACTCTCTGGACTGCAGTGTTCGGGGTGTCAACACGGTAAATGTCATCGAAGGCTTGGCGCCAGACATCCCGACATTGTCTTCTGACGTGGTGGCTCCTCCATGTTCGTTGGATGTTCCTCGCAGCCTTCAGGCGGTCTCGTTCTAACTGTCTCTGTTGACGCTCAGCTTGGGCGTTTGACACTGTCTTGGAAGCCCCAGAACTGGCTGACGGCGACCACACGTTGGCAAAGGGGTTCTGATTTTGGCCGCTTAGGTTGACATTTCGGGTTCGGCGGGAGTTGCCCGTGAAGGTCGAGTGCATGATGACCCGGCGTTGTCGGTAGGTAGGTGGGGGGGTTAAGGTTGGTAGTAGGACTATGACTGGTGACCAAGCTTCAAAGACGGATACTGCAACATGTCCAAGAGAGGGTGTGAATCAAGGAGATTGACTTGGACAGACATGCCAACTTCAGCGAGTCTCGGGCAACCAAAGGATAGCTATTCGAAAGTCTGGGATCGTGGCGGGGCACTCTCCAAATGGGAGCTCCTCTGGTGCAAGGTGGAAGGATAGCGGCCGTGATCTGGCGGGGCGATGACGGTGAGTCCCTTGTGGTTAGTAAGACAGAGGTGGAAGCTTCGCGCGCACCACGCACGGAAAAACCGCTAACGCTAACGGTGCGCGAGGCTTGGCCGTCCCAATTCCGATAAGGCGATAAGAAAAGAAAATGTGGCCAGGCTTGTCAGGTACCTTGCCAGGCTTGCCAGCGTGGCACAGGCACACAGGTACCCATCCCCACCTGTGCCTTCCTCTTTGAACGGCAACGGTCACTGGCTGAAAGGACTGCAAGACCAACCGAGACGACGCTTGCCTGCCAGGCGAGTCTAAAATTTAATCCTCAACCATCTTGGGGCATGACCGAAATCTCTTCTCCTCCATCCACAAACCCTTCATCATCTCGATCCTCACACACACGAGCAATAGACAAGAAGTGCGTTTCTCGTGCTTGTTCTCTTTCGCTCATCACACACGGAAAACCAAAAAAACTTTAAAATCCACTCAAAAAACCCCACGACACATCTTTTTGTGTCCTCATACCCTTACTCTTACCTCCTGCACTCTTGCCCAGCCAATCTCCCACCCCAAGAGCGCCTTGTGTCTCGGTCAAACTTGACGCACCACATCCATTCTCCTCTACATCACCACGCAAAAAGACTTGGACGCCCGTTCTTGTCTTTGCATCCCTCCGAATAACAACTCGTTAGCTTTCATTCTCCCGGTAAGTCGAGCCTGCCTTTCCCCTCCCCTGCCCCCGCCTCCCAACAATGAGCGAACCATAATACCCAATCCACTGCACACCGCCCGCGCGCACACCGTCTCCTCGTCCGTCGACTTTTACCCTCCGGCCACCACTCCCACTGTGTCTAACGCAGCCACAGCTAACACAGTTGCCTGCCAGAACGAAACTACCCTACGTCGTCGCCATGTCTGCCTCCGCGAACACCGGTGCTGTTGATCAGCTCACCAACGACCTCGCCTCGACCTCGCTGAACGGCGAGGAGAAGAACACCCCTGCCATCAACACCAATGTTGAGGGCGCTCAGGGCGATGCTGACACCGCTGGTCCTACTCCCAACTCGGCCGTTCCCCAGCCCCAGGCCTCTGCTTCTCTCTACGTCGGTGAGCTTGAGCCCCAGGTCACTGAGGCCATGCTCTTCGAGCTCTTCTCCCACATCGGTCCCGTCGCGTCTATCCGTGTCTGCCGTGATGCCGTCACTCGCCGCTCGCTCGGCTACGCCTACGTCAACTACAACACCACCTCGGATGGCGAGAAGGCCCTTGAGGAGCTCAACTACACCGTGATCAACGGCCGCCCCTGCCGCATCATGTGGTCGCAGCGTGACCCTGCCCTCCGCAAGAACGGCCAGGGCAACGTCTTCATCAAGAACCTCGATGTCGCCATTGACAACAAGGCCCTTCACGACACCTTTGCTGCTTTCGGTAACATCCTCAGCTGCAAGGTCGCCCAGGATGAGCACGGCAACTCCAAGGGATACGGTTTCGTTCACTACGAGACCGATGAGGCTGCCGCCCAGGCCATCAAGCATGTCAACGGCATGCTTCTCAACGAGAAGAAGGTCTACGTCGGCCACCACATCCCCAAGAAGGATCGCCAGAGCAAGTTCGAGGAGATGAAGGCCAACTTCACCAACGTCTACGTCAAGAACATCAACAGCGAGGCCTCTGATGACGAGTTCCGTGACCTCTTCACCAAGTACGGCGAGGTCACTTCCTCGTCGCTCGCTCGCGACCAGGAGGGTAAGAGCCGCGGCTTCGGCTTCGTGAACTTCACCACCCACGAGGCTGCCTCTCAAGCCGTCGAGGAGCTCAACGGCAAGGACTTCCGCGGCCAAGACCTGTACGTTGGCCGTGCCCAGAAGAAGCACGAGCGCGAGGAGGAGCTGCGCAAGTCCTACGAGGCTGCTCGCCAGGAGAAGGCCAACAAGTACCAGGGTGTCAACCTCTACATCAAGAACCTCAGCGATGATGTCGACGACGAGAAGTTGAGGGCCATGTTCTCCGAGTTTGGCCCCATCACCTCCGCTAAGGTCATGCGTGATAGCATTTCTGAGGGCGAGGATGAGGAGAAGGCCGAGGAGGAGACTCCTGCCCCCGAGGCTGAGGTCAAGAAGGAGGACAGCGAGGCTGACGCCGACAGCCAGGAGGCTGCCGACAAGAAGGACGCCAAGAAGGGCGACAAGAAGCTCGGCAAGAGCAAGGGCTTTGGCTTTGTTTGCTTCAGCAACCCCGAGGATGCCACCAAGGCCGTCGCCGACATGAACCAGCGCATGATCGACAACAAGCCTCTCTACGTCGCCCTTGCTCAGCGCAAGGACGTTCGCAAGAACCAGCTTGAGCAGAGCATCCAGGCCCGCAACCAGATGCGCATGCAGTCCGCTGCCGCTCAGGCCGGCATGCCCAACCAGTTCATGCAGCAGCCTGTCTACTTCCCTGGCCAGCAGCCCGGCTTCCTGCCCCAGGGCGGCCGTGGCATGCCCTTCCCCCCCAACATGGGCATGCCCAACATCCAGGGTGGTCGCCCCGGACAGTACCCTGCCGGTTTCCCCCAGCAGGGCGGCCGCGGCATCCCCCAGCAGCTGCCCCCCAACATGTACGGCGTCCCTGGCCAGTTCCCTCCCGGCGGCTTCCCCGCCCAGGCCAACAACCCCCAGTTCATGGCTGCCATGCAGCAGGTCCAGCAGGCCTCCATGGGTGGCGGCCGTGGCCAGGGTGGCCGCGGTCCCATGCAGGGCATGCCCGCTGGCCCCATGGGCCCCGGTGCCCCCGGCTACCCTCCCAACCGCCAGCAGCCCGGCCAGGCCGGCGGACGCGGCGGCCGCAACGGCCAGCAGGGCAACTTCCCTCCCCAGGGCGGTCGCGGTGCCCCCGGCGCCGGCGAGAACACCCCTCCCCAGGGTCTCAGCGCTATTCAGCTGCAGCTGAACAACGCCACCGATGCCCGCCAGCAGAAACAGATCATTGGCGAGCTTATCTTCCCCAAGATTGCCGCTCAGCAGCCTGAGCTTGCTGGCAAGATCACGGGCATGCTCCTCGAGATGGAGAACTCTGAGCTCATTACCCTGTGAGTTGCCTCGTCATTTAATTTCTCGTGCGCACACACTAATACCATCGCAGCATTGAGGATGACAACGCCATGAAGCTCAAGGTTGACGAGGCCCTCGGTGTGTACGAGGAGTACGTCAAGAACCAGGGCACCGAGGAGGACGATTCGAAGAAGGAAGAGACCAAGGCTTAGGCGTCGCGTTCAGCTTCCTCATCGGTCGCCAACGCGCCTGGTCTTTTTCCTATGTCTTCATACCCGGGGCTGCATAGATCGCAGCACCCTCTGGCGGCAACGACCTCGATATTTTGAGTGAAACGGGAGCCGGAAAAAGTTTTATGGTTTTACGTGAAAGGGTTGGCCATCGTCGATGCCCCCTCGCCCCCCGGTATTCCAGGGCATGGTGTGGCTTCTTTTTTTTTTTTTTTTTTCAGCTGGGTTCAGATCTGCCGGTCAACCATCAGACCCCCTCTGCCTTCATGTCACGATGTGCCTTGTGCAGCATCTTGTGAAAAGGACAGGGTAGGAGGCCGGCAGCGGTCCTCGCGGACGATTGTCATGTTCGGCCTGAGGACAATTCTTCTCTCGGTGGTTGCTTTCTTCCTCCTCGGTCTGGTTTACGGACGGCGTTTTACGGTATGCTTTGAGAACAGTCGTCTGCCTCGTACGAGGAATGACATCAATACCCCAGAACGGTTCTCGGTTAGTCGGGTGGATGAGGGAGGCTCACCTCAACGGATGGTGAACCGTCCCGAATAGATTTATGTTTATGATGACACCATGGCATGTATGAGATTATTGAGAAAGGACTCGTGCACAATTGTATGTGTGACTGAAAAGCCGGCGTGCTTGGGGAGGACCTTGACAAGGGAACATGTTCATCAAGGTTTGCTTTCATACGTTGATCAATAATGGTCTATCTTGGATTCATACATTGTCTCTACTACAGCTTCGCCGCCGGCTTGAGGAGGGATAACCTGTCTTTGAGGGCATCCTCGGCCTCCTTCTCTATTCTCGTGACAAGGACATCTACCGTGGGGGATTATCGTGAATCAGGCCAATGACCTGTCCCGCCGTCCAAGACCTGCGTCACATACATTTGTTAGCAATCTTCTTCTGTCTCACATTTTGTTTCCTGGGGCATCATGCCCACAGGAACAGGGGACATCAAAAAAACTCACGCCATAGTTGGGATCGCCGTTGACAAAGGCCTCCTTGCCGCGCTTGCCGCTCATGAGGGGGGCAATCTCCTCAAACTTGCCCGTGGTGCTCTCGCGCTCGACCTTGAGGGCCTCGAGGGCGACGTCGTTGCGGAAGAGGCGGGTCGTGTTGCGCCAGCGGCGCAGCAGGAGCTCCGTGTCGGTCTCCTGGGCCCTGACAATCTGCTCCTTGATGGAGTGGTGGACGGGGGCCTCGACGGTGCACATGAAGCGCGTGCCCATGTTGATGCCGGAGGCGCCGAGGCACAGGGCGGCGGCGAGGCCCTGGCCGTCGGCGAAGCCGCCCGAGGCGATGAAGGGGACCTTGAGGGACTGGCGGGCGCGGGAGAGGAGGATGAGGTTCGTAATGTCCGACTCGCCGACGTGGCCGGCGCACTCGAAGCCGTCGATGGAGAGAAAGTCGACGCCGAGCTTGACGGCCGACTGGGCGTGGCGGATCGTGGTGCACTTGTGGAGGACGGTGACGCCGGCGCGCTTGAGCTGCGTGATGACGGGGCCGGGGGAGTTGCCGGCCGTCTCGACGATGGTGACGCCCTCCTCGATGATGGCGCGGGCGTAGGCGGCGTAGTCGGGGGGCACGAGGGCCGGGAGCAGGGTCAGGTTGACGCCGAAGGGGTTCTTGGTCAGGGTGCGGCAGCGCTTGATCTCGGCGCGCAGGGCGTCGGGCGTCGGGAAGATGAGGGCCGTGATGATGCCCAGGGCACCGGCGTTCGAGACGGCAGATGCGAGGTCGGCGGTTCCCACGTGCTGCATGCCGCCCTGGACGATGGGGACTAGGCGTGCGAACCAAGGTCAGTCTTGGGCGTACAGAGTACCAGGTAGGTAGTGGGAGAAGACAGCTCGTGGGGGCACTCGTACCTTTGATGCCCAGGCGCCGGGTCAGCTCAGTGTCGAAAGGCATGGCGGACAGCGACTCGGTGTGCAAAATGTTTGGTAGCAAGAGGGACGCGCGCGCTGTTGGTGACGAGAATTCTGGTCGTGATGAAGGGCGGCCAAGCAGACATAATGCCTTATCGCGGCTACCTCTCGTGGAGTTGAAGCTCGGCTTGGCAGACGTGACGAGACATGCCGAGGTCCTCGGGTCTATGCCCCACTGCGGGCGCCTTCCCCCGTCCGGGGTACCGACTCACATGTTCGGGGAAGGAACATAATTACTGCATACTAGTAGGAGGCTGTGCTGATGGTGAAAGCCACAATCCATCCATCCACCTTCCAAGGTCACGAGACCTGGAACGCCTCTTCACCTTGCTGCCATGAGCTCGTGACCATCCAAGCTCCAAATCGACGACGAACATACATGTACATCCAGCCAGGTCGAGTCAGACATCAACTTCTCAGACATGAGGAGGTTGGCGCCACGACATGCTCCCACACGGAAGGTCGACGGCGGACAAGTGTACATGCACACGCTGGCTCGACCCTTCGCCCTTGACATCGGATGCACGACAGCTGGCACACAACAGGACGGCGAATAACTGACAGGTTGTGCCTTGCCTCACCATGCTTCGCGCTGACCTGCCTCCCTACCCTTTGGCATGCAATCAGGCAGGCAGGCAGACAGGCAGGCCGGCAGGCCGACATGCCGACAGGCTGACAGGCCGACAGGCCAGCGGACAGACAAGCATGCTGCGCGTCCACCTGCATCCTCCTGCATCGCCCATCATTGTGAGGCGGCCATCAGGCCACTCCCGATCTGTGCGACCCTGTGTTGCGTGACTGGCATCCTGCGTCTCGGACGGCTTTTTTATTCTCTACTTCGCGACTGCAGGGCTTCTGCGTCGAGCCGCATCACCTCCCAATGCACACCTCACACGATTCGGTCGGCTCAAGCAAGGCATCCAAACCATGCGACGTGTGTGCGCTTGCAAACTGACGCGACAGCGCATCCGGCCATGTCCATGACATGGCAGGACCCTTGAGTCCTTTGGGCCCCAATGCACTTTTGTCTCAGTGCAATCCAGAGGACGAAACGAAACTCCGCGGGGTGTGTGCTGCCTACTCAGGAGCCGGCTGCCCCCAATTGGCCCCTCCCGGCACTCGCGCGCTCTGACAGGCCTTTTCCTCCCTCTCGTCACACGCGGGAGGATTTCCGCAGCCGTAGCTTTCGATTCTGCATGGGAGTCTGCAGATCAGTTCGAATCTGATGAGCTGCCCTGCCAACCCCTAGCCGTCGCGTCAATGACACTCTGGGTGGACGAAGGCGGGGCGGGGAGGAGCCAAGCAGCGGCGCTGCATAAGGGCCCATTGGCACGTCGGACGGGGATGCGGGCGCCCAACCTCGTGATCATGAGAGGTCCAGACGCTGGTCCGCAGGCCGGCTTATTCTTGTCGCAGAAGGTCTGGCGGGCGGCGGACCAGCTAGCTATAGCCTTGTGAAGATCCGTGAGACCGGGCTAGGAAAGGGAAAAAATAGATGGCCGCAAAGCCTAAGACGGGTTTCGAGGCAATAGTCCCAAATTGCCGTGTCATCGGCGTTCCTCCGCCTGCGTATTGGCCCGGCACCTTCGGCGAAGGACCATCTGAGACGCAAGGGTCCGCGTGACTTTCACGGCCGTGAACAGTGCCATCGAGCACAGGGCGAATCGTCCCCCGCCCCCCCCCCCCCCCCCCCCCCCCCCCCTCGGACGATGAGACGACGGCTGGCGTCTCGCTCAGATACCTACGGTCGAAAGTCAGGAGATGCCAGCATCTGGCCCTCGCCAAAAGACGCGGGGGGGTATGCTGTCAAGATTCATGCTGTGACAAAGCCTCCCTCGCTCCCGTCTGGAAGTAGGTGTGTAAGTAGGTAGGTATCGACTGCGTGTCTCGGCTCCCAAGAAACTTTATGACCATCGACAGTGATTCTTCTTCAAGTTGTGGGTCAGTATCCAAGAACGTCGTCCATATCGAGATTCAGGTACATAGTAATGCCATATGTGAAGCGAGAGCGAGTGCGGCAAGCGGCCACAAGGCGATATCACTCGACGGTAGGAGCCAGATAACCTGACACAGATGCCCTGGTCCTTCCGTCGCCTGACAGATTTCACATTTGACAAGTACATCTCGTCAATCGCGCATCGTGGAGCCCCCAAGGGAGGGCACACGAACGGGTACGAACATTTTGACAGCTGGGTGCCAACATGCCGACGAACATCCACTCGCCATGTTGCAGTGTTGCATCAGAACATGCATGGACACCATTGCACAAAGGCATCGGCGATTCCGAGCCTTTTTCTCTCGTTTTACTTTTTTCTTGATGATTCTTTTGCGTACTCTCGTGTTCCTTGCCATAGCGTCTGGCCTCTCAACACTGCTGCGGTGGTATGTGTATGTACGACACGGCTCATGGCTCATGAAGCCCGTATCATGTTGCACGCCACGTCCAGGTCAGACGTTCTATCCTGCTACCTTTTCCCGCGCGCTTACTCACAACGACCGCACCAAAAGCAGCTGCGTCTCGTGGGGGAGTGGGCATATGGACTTATGGCCTCACCCGCCAATTGACTACCCACCACCGAAGGCTGTCAACGGCAAGACGCTGGTCATGGTGAGCAGCCCATATGTGCCTTGATGTCAGTTGCATGCCCATTCATGCCAGGCATCACAGGAGCTTGCTTGACCGCGCTGCCCTCACCATTACGTATAGCGACTATTATTAGCCACTGCCGATAGTAGGGATTCAGTTCATCAGCTTTGCTTCGCCCGGAAAACACCACTAAGAAAGAGAATGTGGGAATGAAGGGGGGTCGCTCGACAAGGGTGAGCAGGGGGTGCGAGAGGCCCGCGGGTTGTATTTCGACAAGCTGTTGACCGCTTCTTGATGCCGGGAGAATGCCTAAGAGAACGGTACGTAGTGTTAGTTCAACGACAGCGTGGCTTGGCCATGATCTGCCTGGGCCGTGGCCCGGAGACTCGGTAGCGGTGTTGGCCCGCAGCACCCTCCTGGTCCTGTACCTGGTCTACTCCCAAGCGAGAACCCAACTGTTGACGAGCGAT